AAGGAAGTAATTTGTCAAAACAAAGTTGTTTAAAATCATCAAGCAAATAAGTTGAAATTATATTAACTTTTCCCATGTTTTATTTTTATCAGCCTCTCTGGGAAGAAACAAGAAATAATAACATTTGCAAACTTTCATCTATACATTTCTATTACCAGGTTACCTTGGACTTATCTGCTTACAGTATCCCTTTAATAATCCAAATGCAAACGGGAAAACACCATTCATCTGTCGCCATCCTATTTGTGCAGAAATCACACCAGGGTTTCTGAAAATATATTCTAAAGCAAACTAAAGAATACAGAATGCAGAATGCGTAGCACAAGCCATTTTCTCTTTATGTAACTTACAGTTCCATTTGATCCGAATATGTTTAGGTAAATTGGTGGATGATAGCTAGGAAGGCACCAGCATTTATTGAAGTCAGCTTCCTGCCTGCTGCTGAAAGGAGTTTGTTGAAGTTACATACCCTATAATCACTCGGTAAATTGGAATGTTTTGAAATCTCTGTTTTGAGATGAGGAATCCAAGGTCCAAGCAGTTCAAGGGTATAAGAGTACTCTAAACCATTTGTCAGAAAACAGAATTTAAAATGCTAGCAATGGCACATAACAATTTTTAGATTGTGTATATGAGGAATCACTAGAAAATTCATGGAAATTGATGTTAGGTGCACACAATAAATGGACTTAAAATTTAATGCACCACCTGGGCCTGACATGGTGGCCTAGCGCTTAGGGCCCTAGGCTAGGTTCCTTGCCTTGAACATGCCAGAATCCCATATGGCCACTGGTTCTAATCCCGGCAGCCCCACTTCCCATCCTGCTCCTTGCTTGTGGCCTGGAAAAGAGGCCGAGGAAGGCCCAAAGCTTTGGGACCCTGCTCCCTTGTGGGAGACCAGAAAACCTCCTGGCTTCTGGCTTCAGATCAGAGCAGCTCCGACCATTGCAGCCACTTGGGGAGTGAAACATCAGACAGAAGATCTTCCTCTCTGTCATTTCTCCTCTCTCTATATATATATCTGACTTTGCAATAAAAATAAATAAGCCTTTAAAATTTTTAATGAAAAAAATTTTTAAAAATTTTAATGTACCGGTTATTTAAACGTCCAGCAGCCTCCTGGCAGCTGGTGGGTCTCAGGACGGGGTGTCTCATGCCTGGATCCCAGACAGCCGCCATGGGCACAGCCGCCATGTGCTGAGCTGTCCCCGGGCCTGCGGGGTTCCGGGGGCCGCTTCCTTCCTTCGGGGTGAGTAGACTGAGGGGGAGGCCTCCGGGACTGGGCAGGCCCGGGACCCACCCGCCGCCTTCATGGGGCGGTGAATGGGATTTGGGAGGGGCGCGACCTTGGGCCTGGGTTATTTAAACCTCCCAGCAGCCCCTGGCAGCTGGTGGGTCTCAGGACGGGGCGTCTCATGCCTGGATCCCGGACGGCCGCCATGGGCACATGGTGAGCCGTTCCCTGGGCAGCCAGTGCGCCATTTGGTGCCAGGCTCTGCCTGCTGGCCGCCCGGCCGGGGAGCTCTGGGGATTTGGTTCTTTGAGTTGCTGCTTAATTAGCTCCAGGTTGAACCCATTGTGCTTCTTGGACCTGAAACAGGCAGTAACTCTTCCTTAGCAAAACTTGTAATCACTAATAATGCTGAGCACCAAATACCAGTCACGCAGAAGCTATGGCTTGGGGCTTGTCCTGCACAAGTAGCTCCAACAGCTGGCCAATGTGTCAACTGGTAATGGAACAGAGTAGATTAGGCACGACTGAGCAAACCTTAGCCCACAAGTAAAACTAGAAACCAGGAGGGAGCAGAGGTCATGCCGAGCTAGGCTCTTGTACCTGCTGGTCTGTGGGAGCCTGGGACGCTAAGCCACAGTGTCTAAGGCAGAGGTCAGGACAGGTGAGGGGCTGAGCCAAGCTGAGTCAGAGCATCCATTCGTAGGCATGTGATTTATGGCTGGGAACAGACCTGGTTGGGGAGCAAAGGGGACAACCCTAGCTGGGCTGAGGTTCCCACCAAGAGGCGCGTGGCCTGGAAGGGGGGCTGCGTTCTGATCTGGAAACAGTTGTAGTCTCCCTTGGCACAAGTGTGGACTGGGATTGGATGCACCGAACTGGGCCGGACCCCGACTCCCCCTGGGTGTTCTGGAGGACCAGGGCAGATGTGGGATGGACTAGGCAGGGTCTCAAACCCCTACTGAGCCATGTGTGAGTCATACGTGGGTATGGACAAACCATGGCTGGGCTGAAACATCCAACAGCAAGAACCAGATTGGGTGGAAGGCCAGTCAGGAAAAGCCACAGTTCCTGCTATGACAGGAGGTGGACTGAGTAGGGTTGGCTTATGGACCCACTGGTAAGCGTGAAACCTGGCATTGGGAGAGGTTCTGATGGAGGAGCCTGGGCAACTCCTCTGGCAGCACACAGACCCAGCAGGTAAACGCAAGGAACATGATAGGAAACAGCCCAGAAAAGGCCATGGAAAACTACCCACTGGCATACAATTGGCAGACGTGGGGGCAAGACCAGGCTGAATCTGTCCACATCATCCACTGGCAAATCCAGGCACCAGTGTGGGTCGACCCAGGGTCGGTCGCAACAAAGACTAGTGCACATTATGGAATGCCAAGGTGAGGTTGCCTGTACCAGAAGGGACCGCAGCGCCCAACCAGCCTGAGAACAAGAGAGGAAGTGGGCAGAGCTGGCAGGGGAATAAGGGAGGGTTCCTTTGCAGGACAGCTACTTCCGCAGGAGAGCATGGGCTGGGATGGGGGCAGACCAGACTAGGCAGAGCTACCACACCTGTGTGCCTCATGTGGACTAGATCAGGGAAAAGCCGGGCTGGGCGGATTATTCCTACTGGTGCAAACAAAATTAAAGTGGGCGAGGGTTGTTTGGGCTTAGACGCAGCATCAACTGGAATCTGGGAGTGGGAGAGGCCTGGGAGAGAAATAGTGGGCTCATCCCTCTTGGGTTACCACTCCCACAGGAGGACATAAAACTAAGACAGCTGCTGGGGTGGAATGGGGTGTGGGACAGACTGGATTACTGCTACACTTACTGGCAAACCAGGGTAGGGGGTGGGCCTGGTGGGGGTTATTGTGGGTCGCTCCAACCTAGGCTGCAGCTCCCGCTGGTTTATGTGAGGGCCAAGTATGTGCTGGGCAGAGCCAGGCTGGACTGCAACACCCATTGGTTCCAGTGGAAGTCGGGAGTGAAAACAGAACCAACCCAGCAATTGCAACCACCAGCTGATTGGAGCGATGGACGGTGCCAGGCCCTGTACTGGTTAGCACATACAAGAAGTTTCTTTGGAGATCTTCCTAATCTAAATGCTGGACTCAGAACCCTAACGAAGAAAAGAGAGAAGACAGAACAGGTCAACCAACCATCTCAGCTATGATGAACTATGTCAATCAGTGGATTTTTCAAAGATCTCATAGTGCTTGGAGTGGCAAGATTGACAGTGATTCATAACTATGGCGATATCAAAACCACTTGAACAAGAACCTCAGAGCATGCCCTACATCCGGGACCTGGGGAGGGTGGGAAATTGGGTGGGCTTCTCCCTTAAATACCCCCCTTTAAATATAAAAAAAAATTTAATGTACCAAACATAACTTTGTAATTATTTTTTTTCACAAACTTTCTGAAATACCCCATATTTGGGAGATTGCTAAAATTTCGTTTAATTCGGAATCTCCACACATTGGCCAAGGGAAGGGCTTTTCCACTCCAGAACCCCTTGGTAACTGCCTTGAGGACCATCTCAGCACTCACTTCATCCAGCTGGAGCATCACCGAAGTGCTGCTGGTCACCTGCCCTGAGAAAGGCCTGGGAAGTCAGGCCTGCCTGCTGCCTCTGGGAATCTCAGGTTACCATTGCACCAGCCCACACCCTCACCCTCAATCCCTAAAAAGGAAGGCAGCAAACATCCAAAGTTGCAGAACCTTGTGTAGGTATTTGCATTGTCCAGAGGTTTCATTAAAGGAAAAGAGGTGTGAGTCTCTTGGTGTCTCTCTCTCTCATACACACATAGACATGCACACACACTCAAATTTCACATCTGAGATTTGTGAGTTGCCCTTAGTGTGTTGCCTTTTCCAAGCTGAGGGAATCCTCCAAGCTTAAGATCACCTTGTTTCTGAGAGGAATAGGGGCGGAAAGGACAAGTGTCTGGTGATAGACATGAGAAGAACAGAAGAAATGGGTCGGAGAAAAGAAAAAGGACTCCTGACCCGAGAAAATAAACACAGGAGTAACGTCTGAGTAAAACTCCAAAATATAGTGACACCCGAGTATCTAAGTGGATGGTCACCCCCCGCCCCCCGCACCACCTGACCTCCTGCCTTGTCTCCCAAGAAATGTTCAATTGGTTCGGAAAAGAACAACCCGCCCCCGGTGTCTGAAAGCACCGGCTTCTGCAAAATATCCTGAAGTTAAAGGGAGAAAACGGTCTTGTAAAGATTGTAATTGCAGCTGAGGAAGTGCCGCCATCCCCAGCGCGTCTGCTCTCAGAACGCCAGTAACTAAGCGCTGGCAGCGGATCCGAAGGGCAGCAGGAGGAGTGTAGCGCCCTGGTGGCAGGCAGAGGGGTGCCGCTGTTCAGCTCCCCACAGCATCACTGAAGCAGGAGGCTCCAGACTATAAAGAGCGCCGCCGCAGGATCCTCAGTAGTCCAGAAGACGCCTAGCAGCTTCTCCCAGCTCGCTCCTCACACCCACGGCCCTGAGAGCATCCCCAGATTTCCTCCAAAGCACCTTGTCCTTGATTCTGCTGGAGCGCAAACTCCTCGGATAAAGTGCAACTTCGTGCCTCTCACCACCTGCTGGCTTAAAGCAAGGCTTTTAAAAGCAAGGGCTGTGAGATTTTAGGCACTGCTCATTTCAGGCGGGGCTGAAAGCTGCCTGTCCCCAAAGTGACAGAGTGCAGAGAACTTAGAGCGCTTTGACTAGTGCTGGCGGCGAGGGAGCGGGGAAAGTGCGGGGCTGCCGGCCAGCAGCGATGGATTCTCTTCCCACAGCAGACACCTGGACCGTCAGCGCGGGAGGTGTGGGCTCCGACGGTGGGAACCTGAGTGCTGCGCTGGGAGCCGGGGCGGCCACGGAGGCGCTGGGGGCTGAATGGCTGCAGTTGCTAACGCAAGCCGGCAACCTGTCCTCGTTTTCACCCTCTTTGGTGCCCGGACTGCCTACGGTTTCCCCTGCTCTGTCGCAGCCCCGGGCCAACCTCACCAACCAGTTCGTGCAGCCCTCCTGGCGCATTGCGCTGTGGTCCCTGGCGTATGGTGTGGTGGTGGCCGTGGCCGTCTTTGGCAATCTCATTGTCATCTGGATCATCCTGGCCCATAAGCGCATGAGGACTGTCACCAACTACTTCCTCGTCAACTTGGCTTTCTCCGACGCCTCTATGGCCGCTTTCAACACCTTGGTCAACTTCATTTACGCGCTTCACAGCGAGTGGTACTTTGGGGCCAACTACTGCCGCTTCCAGAACTTCTTTCCTATCACAGCCGTGTTCGCCAGCATCTACTCTATGACGGCCATTGCGGTAGACAGGTGAGGAGGAGGTAAGGGAGGTGGGATGGGACGAGGCTGAGTGATGGGATAGGGCTACCCTAAAGCGTTTGTAGCTCTCCAGTTGCCAAACCAGTTTCTGCCTCCCCGGCTTTCCCCACTCACCCCTATATACTAAAGTGTGTCTGAAGGTAGAAAACAAGGCAAATGTGTGTATATGAAAATCCAGCATCCAAACAAGACAGAAACTTTAATCCTTGCACTCTTTAAGGATGAGCTCTGTAAAACGTACTCTGCGGTAACTCTGCTGGCTGAGAAATGGGCTGCATGTCCCGGAGTCCCTCTCTTGCTGCCCTCCTCCGTTTGTTCCATCTGCTGACCCTCATCCCCAATGACCCCTATTTCCCTCGCGGGATCCTAAGGCTATCCTGCTGTTTCCTGCACTCTTGGAGGTCTGTCAGAGACACCAGGATCCTTGCAAATGATTGCTGTTGACAGCAGTCTCAGCTATGTCTCAGCTTAATTTCACTTCCAGGGTTTGGTGGAGCCTGTGAGGTGGGCAGGCCTTGTGCCTGGATGTGTGTGTATTAGAAACAAAATCATTATAACAGCTGCTTTAGATTTACGATCTAATTTTTAAGTGCTCCCCATCAACAGAGGGGATTCTGAGATGCTTTATCAATTAAGATAAACGAAATGGACTTCAAACACGTGTTCCCGTATCTAATTGTTTAAAAATTCTCATCTAATTGTTTAAAAATTCTGTGTGTGTGTGTGTGTGTGTGTGTGTGTGTGTGTGTGTGTGTGTGTGTGTGTGTGTGTACTGTCATGGAATGTGCATACCTACAGAAAGAAAATGGTGACTTCTTCCCTAGGACTGAATCTGTGCTTCACCTGAACGGTGTGGTAAAGAAAGCACATAAGTTGAACCCAGGCTCCGGTTTGTTTTTGCCAGCTGCATGCACAGGGGCTCAAGCCACTTTAACCTTAGATCAGTATGTTACCATCTGTTAAAAGGTTTTTCTTTTTTTTTTTTGCTTATTTGTTTTTACACTTAACAAGCCTAGTTTATAAAAAGGCTAAATATTCTTATTATTTGCAGCTATGAGAGGAAACAGGTTATATCCAACAGTTCAACCCATCGTTTACTATTTTGAATTAGTGAACATGATGATATCAATAAATCTATACAAGCTGTTTCACATGCCATTCCAGAGGGTTAAATTGAGAGACCAGTAGTGAAATACAACCCAGAAGGATAAGAAAGTCTTACTTTGTAAAGCTTCTATAGTTACAAGTAATATCTTTCACCTTCATCTCGGATTTTACACACACACACACACACACACACACCTCTTCATTTCTGCTAGGGAGAGAAGTGCAAAGAATGAGTGAATGTAGCCCAAGTTGAGGGACAGGTAAAATTGCCTCTAATCTTGTCCCACCAAGACAGAAGGGAATATTCTTTTAGTTTAAAAAGCTTCCTTCTTTAATTTGTTATGCTTTCTTTTTAAGTAGGTGATTTTTTAATGTGATTGGGAGAGGTGTGAACATATAATGATGTGAAAATGCATACAATCTTCTTGAAATGTTATATTGAGATATAAAATTTGATAAATCTTGCTGCATCTGAGACTGGTACTTCAAGTCTGTGGGGCAAACAAGGTTATTTTTTCAATTTCTTTTGCCAATATTTCTGAATTGGGCTTGGTGTGAACTAACAAGATTATGCTATTGCATTACACTCACTGATTTGAAAGCAATGTATGTATTTATTTTTCGTCTTTGTTAGTAAATTCTATCACTAAATCTATACAGAATTCATAGATTAAATGAAATCTTAAATGTGTTATAAAATAGTTGAAAAATCCAAGGCATATTTTTCCATACTGAAAATCTCAAACTATTTAAAGGAATGGAACATAAGTTGATTAAAGAAATGGAAGATGCAAAAAAATCTTATTTAAAATAATTCTTAAAATACACCGCCATAAAAATACATACATAATCCTCAGTAGTTGACTATCCCATAAAGATTTCTGTGTTGGCTTCTTGTCAAACAAGGGGTAGAAAACACTGCCCCGGTGATATTTGCAGTCATTTTTTGGTTAAGATTTCAAAGCTTATATCTCAAAAAGTTCAAGAGAATCAATGATGCTTTCTGTTGTAGTTGCAAGACTTAATTGCCTCATTTATCTGAGAACATAGGCAATAATATCCTCTCAGAAATTAGTTAACTTATGCAATTAATTCTTTATTGAAATAATTATAAAGGTTGAACAGCTCCTAAACAATTCTCACTGAAAAATGAATGCATTATTATATTGCAATGTGAACTCCATAGTTCATAACTGAGAGGATATGTTCTTCCCATTTAATATGAACTAGACATGTCATTCCAGCCTGAGTGGAAACAAGGTCAGGAACTCTCTCTATTCCTAAAGTCCCTGCTGAACTGTTTTTTTGATGGCCAAACGTCTATCGTTCAGCTCTAAATATTTCCCTGTTGCTTAAAAAGCACTCATCAGTCACCACTCCTTCCACCCATCTCCACATGTAGTGGATCAGTAGTTGAGCAGCTGGGACTCTAATATGTACCCATATGGGTCGCCTGTATTGTGCAAAGAAACTTAACCCCTTATGCCACAAAATCAGCCCCAAAAATGATTACTGAAAGGAATATTTCACTGAACTAAGGTACAAAAATTAGACAAATAAAAAGTAAGTGAACATGCTACTCATTAATTTCCTTAGGGACATGCTTTATGCATTTTAAAAAATATTTATTCTGCCCAACTTTGACACTTTGAAATTAACAGGTATAAAACCTACCTAAACAGACTAGTTTTCCAGTTGCATGCAGTACAGCTAAGATGTAGATCACTGCTGTCCATGCAAGACCCCACCCATGTAAAAAAACAATTAGGAGGCCTGCACTGTGGTGTACTTGCTAAAGCAATCTCCAGTATCTATTAAATCTCTACAAATGTTTTTTGAAACTCATTGTAAACCAATAAAAAAGTCATGCAAAATATTACCTTAATTTCCTAACATTACTAAAGATATTGATAAAATTTAGTGTTGCTATAAATATTGTAGATGTAAGAAAATTGGCAAAATATGTCTTTAATTTGAATATCCTGAGCCAGTCTCATTCCTCTGTACTCTAGAAGCCATCACTGTTTATGCAATTAGAATTCTTTATTAGTGTGACTGACATACTTGACACCATTTAGCCAAGATGATGAATCTGATCGGTGAGTCCAATCCAGGATGAGTTCCTCTTCCTCTTTAAATTACTTTGAAATATTCACTAAACTATGCACTGGGAAACATTTCTTTCAGGAAACTTGTTATTAAGTTTCCGTTCTATCTAAATTTGCAGTTCTTATTCAAAGATTTAAAATCTCAATTGCATACCCTAAAAATTACTGCTCTAATGAGCTGTGGGATTTCTACTAAAATTACAGCAGAAATTCTTACAAAATGAATCATGAGTTCATGGTAAAAGCAACAAATATATACTGAGTGGATGAAACAAAAGTTCATAAAAGGGAAATGTAGAAATGGATACTTTCCTTACAAGACTATGAAGCCTATAGTTAATATTGAACTTATATTAATCACAGTTGGGAAAGTATGTCATAAAAGAATTGTTGCTGTGTTTAGTATGTTTAAAGTTAACAAATTCTTAATACAGCACATTATCATATATTGAGAGAAATATTTAACTTCATCATAAAAAGAAGACAAAGTTCGCAAAAAGGGGGGATCTACCAAGAATCAAACCACCAGCTGTTTATCATCTGTATTTTCATTTATTCATCTGCTTGCTCTTTAAATTGCTCAGATCTGAGACCCTGTTCCTGATCCAGTAGATCCAGTGAATGCCTTAATTATTAATGTCCTGAAATTCATCTTGGTTCCATCTGGGCTTCTGTTTCTCGGTTGTGTTTGAGTCTCTCCCAGAATGTAATGTTTAAATACATGGGTTCTTCCATGTTCAATTCTTGACTTAATCTTTTTATTTATTTGTTTTCTTTCCCAAGTAACATCCATTCCTGTGGCTTATGGTATGGAAATAAGACAATACCAAAAAGACATTCCCAGATATACAACATACCCAGATATTAATTTTTATCACTTATATGGCTTACAAATATTTTCTCCTATTTTGTTGATTGCCTCTTTTTAACTGTTTCCTTTGCAGTGCAGAACCTTCTTGACTTCATGTAATCTCATTTGTCTATTTTGCTTTAGTTATCTGTTTCTATTTTTTTTTTCTGATAAGTCTCTGCCTACACCTATGCTTTGTTAAGTTTCTTGATGATTTCCTCTAATAACTATATGGTATAAGGCAATTGATTTAGACACTGGATCCATTTTGTGTTTGTTTTTGTATAAAGCATAAGATAGAGGTCCATTTCATACTTTGCACATAGATCCCATTTTCCCAGCACCATTTGCTGAAGTGCCTGTTCTTTCACCAGGATTGATTTTGGCTCATGTGAAACATTAGTTGGGTGTAGGTGCATGGATTCATGCCTCAGGTTTTTACTGGGTTCTATTGGCCTATGTTTGTGCTATTTGGATTATAAGCACTGTGTAGTATGTCTTAAAGTCTAGTATTGTGGTGCCACAATATTTGTTGTTGTTGTTTAATATTGCTTTAGTCATCTGGGATCTGTTGTGTTTCCATGTAAATTTTAGCATTGACTTCTAATTCTGAGAAAAATGTTAATATTTTTATTGGTATCCCATGGAATGTAAGTTGCTTTTGGTAGTATGGACAGTTTGATGATATTAATCCTTCCAATCCGTAAATGTGAAAATTTCTCTATTTTTTAGTATCTTCTTTCTTTAATGTTTTATAGTTTTTATTGTAGAGATTTTCTTACCTCCTTGATTAAATTTGTTCCAAGGTCTTTAAATGATGTAGCTATTATGAAAGAGACCGATCACAGAGGTTGTTTTAAAATTAAAATGACTTAAATTTGGGATATTGATTTTATATTTTGCACCTTATCAAACTCTTTTATGAATATCATTTATAAGGCTGAATGAGTGGTGACAAATTGTTTCAATTTCTTCTTGTTTTGAGAGGTTTTTATTTCACCTTCAATAATTAATGAGAGCTGTGTTGACAGTTTCCTTACAAGTTGGACTCTTTCCATTCTTTCCTAGACTGTAGGATTTCTGAGGAGGGATCAGCTGAAAGCTTTATTTAGGAAATTCTGAAAGTAATCTGGTGTTTCCCTCATGAAAATTTCAGAATCTTTTCTATATAATTACTATTGAAAGTTTAATTACACTGTCTCATGGTGAAGATCATTTCTGATCATATGTAGTAGGAATTCTATCCACATCCTATCTCTAAATTAAGGATGTTTTCTGCAATTTTGCTCTAAAAAGACTTTTTAATCAGCTCTTTTTCCACAACTTAAGGAACTCCCAAGGCATATATGTTAGGAACTCCCAAGGCATACTAATTTGATGGTATCCCATAAATCTTAAACACTGTTGTAAGTTTTCCTCTTATTTTGTCTTAGATACATCTAAGGCCTTGTCTTGCCTCAGAGATCTCATCTTGTGGCTTTCTACGGTATTTCTATTTGACACAAAGTGTTCTCTACTTCTAATATTTCAGTTTGGTTTCTTTTTAATATCTTAATTCCTCATCAAGTTTTATATTCACATTGTGTATCAATTTCTTTAGCTCATGAATTTGTTTCTCTGTGATTCTGAGTAAACTTACAATCATTTTTAAATTCTTTTCAGGTATCACATCAATCGCTTCATCTTCATAGTCTACTATTAAACTGTGTTTTGTAACTTTTGGGGAATCCTGCTGTGCTCCTTGTTCTTGTATTTCTGCAATTCTTTTTAGGTGTTTTTGGAAACACTTGCTCATTTTCTATTCTTATGACTGCTGTCTTTGGTATATGCTTCTGTGTCTGCTCCTTCAGGGGATGTCTAGATGTGTGTTCGGGGTAGGGCCAGGGAACTCGGGCATGGGGTGAGAATTCAGAGTAACACCCAACTTGAACATATTGCATCTCCATTGTCTGCAGCAAGGAGTGTATGCTCATGCCTTTGGGTATAATGACAGCCCCAATGACTTTCTCCAAGGTGATCAGTGCCCACAGTATGTTCATGAACCACACAGAGAATCTCTGGGATCTTCAGTGTGAACATGGACAACTCTACAATTGCCCACCACAGAAGCCAAAGTAATTGGCTCAGAGACCTAGCTACAACCCACACTCTGTCACCCATGCAGTCACAGAATTCTCATAGTCATAGTGCAGAGAACCATGTTCAGCCCCACAAGGCTGTCTGGAGAGACCAGACATTGCCAGAGCCCCTGGCTGAGGATGATCCACATTGGCAGCTGGAGCTCCAGAGCATGTGACAGGCTAGGAGTACCTCTTGTCCTCTGCAGGTGCCCTGCCCTCTGCCAACCCTTCAGGCCAGACTCAAGTCATGTGTGTGCAAGAGCTGCTGCAGCTTCTTGTAACACTGTGGTATCATTTTCTCCCTGCTGGTTGTTGTGTGCACTAGAGGTGAGAAGAGGAAAGAAATATGTGCCTTCTTTAACATGATTAGCTGGTTAACTGTGTCCACCCTGGGGCTACAGGCCAGACTCAAAGTCTGATGACTAGCAAGATTCTCCATCAAGCCTTATCACCAGTGACACATGCTGTGGCAGTCTGCTCTCACCTCACTCTAAAGCAGGCATCTTTTCCAACCCCAGGCTGAGGGACTCACAAGTACTGTCCCAGCTTGCTAATGCATGTTTGTGCTGTCCATGCTGCTCCATGGTTCCTCTTTTCTTTCTGTAGAATTTCTACTGCAAACCTCCCTACATCTTCCTGGACATGTCCTTCTTTTGCTTTCTTTCTATTATCTTCTCCAAGTCAAAATTATCACAACTGTTTGTTATTCAGCCATCTTGGAACTCCTCCTGTGTATCACTTTTAAGTTAACTAATGTTTTCTTTTTTGGCCTAATTGACTTTTGTCTGGATTATGAAAGACAAAGAATTTATGATACTTAATAGAAAAATATAAATGGAAAATTAACGTGAAAAAATATGTTAGTAAATATAAATATATAAAGGCTGGGTATTATCATATATCTTTATATATAAATATAGAACAAGATAAAAAAAATCCCATAACTTCTAAAAGTTGGATTTGTAATAAACCTCTACACTTCTGAATAACCACAAAACAAAATTGGTTTACATCTTCCATAACAATAGTATAAACACATTTCTTAACTGCTAAATAATTACTAGAAATAGAATTTCAAAGAATTCAGGAAATAATTAAACAGTATCCCCAACGACATTGTAATAAGTGCAAAAATCAGCTTCCTGTTAATTATTCGTTTAGTGTTGCTCCAAATAGCCAAAGGCATGGTGTCAATGAAATTTTTAAGGCATTAAGCCTGTGTATGAGCATGGTTCACAAATTATCTAGTTTGATCCGAGGGTATGATCACTATTTTAAGCTATGAAAACAGCAGTTTCATAAAATTATCCACTTCAATGGATTCTATCTCCATCAATTTTAGTAAGTAAAAAGTAATATCATCATGTCACTTATAATTTATTTAGTAATCTGGGCTTTCAGTTTGTTATGTTCAGTGTAGCAGACATAAGTATATCAAAGGAGGGGGGAAAAATCTAAGGACAAAATCAAACTTGCCTTCTTGGGATTCAGTCCTTCTTCATATGCCTTGAGCTTGGATCATACATCACCATCAATGGGGTTTCCTCATAATACAGTAGATAAATGTTATAGGAGACTGTGGCACCCCTGCTTTATCACAGACAGAACCTGAATGCCCAAACTCAGTAGGCTCACTAACGCATGAGGGATATTTAATGATTGGACCAATAGTTGATGTGATTATATGCATGCAATTATATATGCATATGCATGCACATATTGTGTAGGTGTGCTTTCTTCAAAATGGTGAGGTTTAGTATTCTTTTATACTTTTTAATTACCTGCAATAGAATGTAATCCTGTTACATGTAACAAAAGAACTCCAAACATTAAATTTGCACATTATCGTAACCATCATCAACATCTCTGAAACTTTAATATTTGAAGTTATTCAAAGATTATGTTTTGGTGCACATAGTTAAAAAGGAAGAAAAGAAAACACTCATTTGTGTCTGTCCAGGCTGCTCCACTTCCCATCCCTTTCCCTGCTTGTGTCCTGGAGAAACAGTAGAGGGTGATCCAAAGTCTTGGCACCCTGGACCTGTGTAAGAGACCAGGAGGAAAATTCTGGATCCAGCCTTTTAACTGGCTCAGCTCCAGTGATTGTGGCCATTTGGGGAATGAACCAGAGGTGAAATATCTTTCTCTCTGCTTTGCCATCTCTATATAAATCTGTATTTTCCAATAAAATAAATAAATATTTTAAAAGATTTGTCTTTCTTTAAAAACATAAATTACAAAAAAATCAGAGGGAATAGTATGCAAGATTTAATCATTTCTTCTCAAGTAGAGTGTTTATCAAGAAAAATCTCAGTATTTATTCATTTGGTATGCCCTTTGTAACATTTATCACGTTTAAGTTTCACAATTTGGTTGAGATTATTCAGTTATCCATCCACTTAACAAAGTGCTGTGAAGGCCGTTTTTACTCACTATCACTACCACATGTTGTCTACCATAATAGGATCTCAATGTTTCCTGAAAAAATGAATAGTGAATCAGGTTAGAAATTACAAAAATGCCATCCTGAAATTTAATCATTTCTATTTTCACTAAAATATCTTTTTTCTCCCTAATATATTGTTATTATCTTTTCCAAGTCACAGTTCCCAACTTGTTAAAAAGCTGTACACTAAAAGCCAAATCTAAGATTGTTTTTAGAGCCTCAACTGTTGCATTCTATAGCAACAATTTCATGCATTGTAACGTAGATAGAAAACATGAAAATTTCATGATGATAGTGAGTACAATCTGCTAGCTAACAGAAAGTTTCACCCTCAAATTTGATTTATTAGTCCTTTTACCTGAAGCCTGATCTTAGCTCTTGCTGCCATTGTATGGATATGTGTCCACATACTTCACAAGAATTCTTCATCACTGTCAATTATGTACATATTATCCATTTTATTTCTCTAGAATTTTTCAAAAGGTTAGGCAGCCATAGTAATGTTTTGAGGTGTGAATCTAAAATGTTTTAAGCACTTTTTATGTGCCATTTCAATTCAATTCATCAGATATTTCTGAGTTTTGATAATGTGCTTGTCACAGTAATATTTAATCAATACCTTTCTCTTACTTGGTTTCTATTGATCCCTACCTCACTTCTAACAAGTGAGTGTTCTTATTTCTATTTTAAACACAATGAATGTAAGGATATGAAAGGTCTAAGCAATGTTAAAATAGGGTTTGAATTTATATTTGCCTGATTCCTAAGGTTATGTCATGATTATCAATCTATCCTGCCTCTGCACAACTAAAATCTCAGTTACTACATGAGAGAACTGTTGCCTTAGAAATTTCGGTTTAAACTCTAATAGGAAGCCAATAAAATGGTCTTGTTTGTGTTTATATAGGTATATGGCCATTATTGACCCCCTGAAACCCAGGCTGTCTGCCACAGCTACCAAGATTGTCATCGGAAGTATTTGGATTCTAGCATTTCTTCTTGCTTTGCCTCAGTGTCTTTACTCCAGAACCAAAGTCCTTCCTGGACGTACTCTTTGCTATGTGCAGTGGCCAGAAGGCCCTAAACAACATTTCACGTAAGTTGCATTATGGTTTCAATTCTATTTATTGGATATTTCAGGAGCTAAAATTTGGGAACAAGTAAGACATTGACATTTTCCTCAGGGTACACATATTACACAGGAAAAGAAATACATAAAAGCTTGAACATCGTATGAAGTACTACTTCGCACATTGACTTTAAATCAATACTTAATAAGCCACCAGAAAACAAGTCAAATATATGTAAGATTATAAAATTTGTTACTAGAAATGTAAAGACTTTTGTGCTCATTTTGGCAGCACATATACTAATTGTGGAACGATACAGACATGTAAAGACTTCTACGTAATTAACACTCAAGAGTCCTGCACTTAAGTGACAAATGCACGTTTAAGGGAAAAAAGTATTATTGAGAGAGAAATCAGTGAGGAGGGAGGAACCAAAGGCCAGCAATGTACGCTGCTCCTTTGGGAAGGCTGACTGGGGGAACAGATGGCTTGCTGGTTCGCTCGATTTTTTTTTTTTCTTAATTTGATTCAGTTTGAGTTCAATTTTTTCAGCATTAAGAAACTTGTGGTTGGAAAGGAAATGGGACTGCTTTGTAATGGAAACTGCCATTTTATATTTTTTAGATTTCTGTTAAGAAAAGCAGAAAGGGTCAAAAAGCTCATTATGTAATTGATCCTATTTATTATCTTATTGTGGTCATAAATTTTATTCAATTGAATTCTTATATTCTAGTTTTTTAACCCATCTTTTACCTTTAACAATAAATAGGTTCTGATATTCTATTGTAGCAGGGTGATTATGATAAGACATTCTATAATCTAACAAACAAAAGAAATTATTTTCAGTGTTTTTACCATTAAAAATGTTGGGATTATTTAGCATGTCTCAGATAATGATCATCTTTAATAGCATTTATTTTTTGCAATTTTGCCTGGAGTCCAAATATTACAGAAAAATACGAGAATACATCAATTCAATGAAAGCTATCCATTACGTTAATAACTTGTATGAAAATATCATCACTTTCAAATTATTTACTGGCATGCTTTCCCACTGATTTAAAACAAATACTTGGGATGTTACCAGTAATCAGGAATCAAACATTTGATATTCACTTGGAAAGAAACAACTTGTTTTTGAAAGATCATTATAACGGACTATTTACTTTAGAACCTTCTGAAAACAGTGTAAGTCACATCAAACTTTAAAAAGTTATGTTCAGAATGTTATATTATGAGATGTCCTCATATTCCTTCATAATTGCATAATTTTAATTTTAATTGACATGAAATAATGGAATTTAATTTGATAATATATAATATTGTGACCTTTTAACCAAATGTCCTCAAATTAATAATACAACCAACTGCACATGACATTGACCAAAATGGCTATACATATTTTGTTTACTTTTCCCAAGTCATAACCAAATAACTTGTGAATCCAATCTACCTCAGTTTCTAAAAATTTTTTTTCGGTTCAATGAAAAACAGTCTATTCCAAATATGCATGATGTCACAGAAACGAAAAATTGTGCTACATAGGAAAAATACATCAGTTGTTTATTTTGTCATCCATTTTTCTCTTGTGAAACAGTTCAGCTAAAGAATTACCAAGCACAGTATGAAACACAGAAAAGGCTTCTGGCCCCCGTTTTAGGAAAGAGGGACATTACACTTTTGTGATAAGTTTTCCCACCTGAGGTGAACCCTGGCAAGACAAACTGGTGGCATTTGAAACGTGACTACAGGTGAAAATGGTACATTTTTGAAATTATAATATAGAGGTAATATGGGGGTATTTTTGAAAATTTTAATTTTGCGATTTTTAATTTTTACATTTTAAAATCTGTTTAAATCAAAACAAACCCAAAGTAATGTATATTTATTGCAACAGATAATTTATCAATTGTTTTTCTTATTTCTTACAGCTACCACATTATTGTTATTATACTGGTATACTGTTTCCCGCTACTCATCATGGGCGTAACATACACGATTGTTGGAGTTACCCTCTGGGGAGGAGCGATCCCAGGAGACACCTGTGATAAGTATCATGAGCAGCTGAAAGCTAAACGAAAGGTAGGGGTCTGTGGAATTCACCTAGCGTTTCTGTAAACTGTCACTCATCAGAGAGAAAACTTAGCAGTGGCACCTTAATATAATTGAGTATCTACTCCTACTCTCTATTCTTTGTTTTTTTTAATACATTTTTATTGATTTGATCTATGTTTTTATGTCTAAAATAAACCTGGGCATATTTTTATGACCAATAAACACATGCAAAAGGCTTACACTCACAATCAATCACTAAAATACTTTTTCATAATAGTCAAACTAACATGGAGCTGAAAATGCACGTATGTTATCCAATCGTATTCTTATATTTTTTCTTAAGCTCTTCAAAGTCATGAATATTATTCTTAGCTCTGAGTTAGTAAAAACAGGTGATGTTCACCCTTTACTTTATGGGTGGGTGAATTTTTGTTTTAGACCTGTAATTAGGTTGGATACATGTCCTTGCCTAATTTTTCTAGAAACGAAATGTTAAAGAGTTTCATCTTATGCTTATCCCTCCACCTCTCATGAAACAATGTTAAAACCATGAAAAACAGTACTTCGCACCATTAACTGATACGTTGAATTCCTTTTCTAACCTACACTCCCTCCATACTTGATTCACTCACAACATTTACAACCAGAGTATGTTGATCCATTACGTGACAACCCTCAGTTTTCATTGCGTTTTCTTCCAGGATTTGTCATCTCCATTTGGGTGGAGTAAAACACTAGCACAGCTCAGGATAGGTGAATGTGGAACCCTTCTCCCAACCACCAGGCCAAGGAAGAACAGAAAATAAATGTTGCTCTGGCAAAGCTGAGTTTATTGTATTGCAATCTCCTGGTTAAATCTTTGTAGCAACTGAGAGGGATGAAGTCAAAGTAACACACTAACAGGGTCTTCTTGCCTGGGTCAGTTGATTTTTAAGGAGAATATTACAAAGTAGAACTAGGTGTGATTAGGTTTTAGCATAATGGTTTTAGAGGATATGGTAGAGTCCTGATGATAGCAAATGATAGTATTAGAAACTATTTTGTTACTTTTCTAATTTTCTGGGAACAAAATTGTGTTTACAATAATTTGCTCACTTATTTTTTGCCTGGTAATGGTAGTTTTTTTTGCAGACATTGTTGTCAGTTCTCAAGTAAATAGAAAAATATTTCTGTGCCTACTTCATAAAGTTTTCCTTAGAGGGCTAGTGAAATTCTGTCTTATGTGTTTTTGAATATTTTTAACCTCAGGGTTGGTTTCTATAAACCACAATCTTTGTACACTATCAGAAAATCAGTCTTTTGTTGGAATAGCTATTTCCTTGAAGTAGGAAGACTTTTTAAGCACCTTTTGCAGAGTATTCTCAATTTCTCCACTTGGAGTTGCTGAAATTTCACTTTAGACAGGATCCAAGTCCATAATATTTTGAAACTCTAATAATTTTTAAAAATTTTATTGAACAGATAGTCTCTGAGTGTAGGTATCTAAAGCATCTTTGAACTATATATCTGTGGAGTTAACTGTATGGCTTGATGGAGTTAATGTTCCTTCAATGATACCCAGATGTCTATAGTAGGTGCAGACAATGAATTCTGGTCTGTGCTGGACCGTGAGGTGAGAGTCAGGGTGACATCCAAGTTGGGGTACAACTTTTATCAGCACAGGAAAGGCAATCACCATTACTATTAATGGAATCATTGCTTTACCTCCTCACTGCCAAGGTGATCAACTCCCAAGGTGAACTCACAGTAGCCACAAACCCCACTCACCCATGCCAGCACATGAACCACACAGAATAGCTGTACATTTTTCTGTGTGTTCACAGATCCAGGAATACACCAAATATATATGTATTCAGAACCAGCTACCCACCAAACTACGTGCAGTTATAGAATTTCCACCCTCTTTCTGAGCAAGATTCCCACAGTCACAGGATGCTTTGGTTCCCTTTAGCCCTGCAAGTCTCCCCTGACTGCAGATAGCAGCAGTGCCTCCAGCACCAGCTGCCTCTCAATGCTCTGCCTTACCAGCTTGTGTTGTCATGCCTCTCTTCAGGCCTATAGAACGGTGGGGTTGTGTACATAATTGCACTCCCAAATATGTGGGAATACATATTTGCAACCACCAGATCAACATTCCTGACTCAAAGTCAGTGGGGGAACATGAATTTATCCTTCTGACAGAACCACTTAATCTCGTGCACCAGCACAGTACCAGATACACATCACAGCCACTACTGCGGCAAACACATAGTCTTCAATTATCTCATGTCATTCAGTCATTCCTGTAGGTCCAGGCTAGCTTCATAATGTGTTTTTCTCCCCCCCATAGAACAGGCACTTTATAGAAGAATTGGAGAACTGGTGTGCTTCTTCCCCACAGTGACCTACAAGAAACCCTCCCTAACCTAGCTTCTGTGTAAGCAGAGTCAGCCTGGGGCGGGACATCCTACACCAGGGAATGCCCAGTGTGACTGTCTGCATGGTGTGATCTGACCTCTTTGTGCAGATCTACTGTATTCCTGAATACCTAGTGCTGTGTCTCTTACTCAAGGTGGTGAGCAAAGGCTCAGTGTGAGCCATTGGCTGCCCCGCACGCTGGGTTGAAAGCAGTGTTTGCAAGTTTGATCTTCTTGTCCTTCTCTTGCCTTTTCACTGAAATTTCTGTCAGACTTCTAGAAATGTAGCTCTTCTTTCACTAGTTTCAAATTCCTTCCTGAGCAGCCCAAGTTGGATTTGAGCTGGATTTCATTCTAACCTCTTGCACATATTTTAAGACAATCTTCTTGGGGTAATTTCTTAAAAATAGCTTTTGGACATAATTAAATAGTTGTTTGATTTTTTTTCGGGATATTTCAGGAAGATATCTGCCTTTGCATTACCTACTTTATTTTTTGTTTTTATTTGTTTGAGTTGTTTTAATTTTTTTTCCTTTCAAAATCTCAGATAAATTAAAGCAGGCCCAGTGATCATAGATTTTCTTCTTCAAATTTATGCAATATTTTCCACGGAAGAAATAAAAAATCAGTTTAAGTGCTCATTTTGTTCTTGAAAATAAAGTCTCATAGAGAACAGCAGCAAGAGAAGATATTTTACTTTGCCAGAATATAGCAAGCAAGAGTAATCTGTAAAATACCTTCTGATCTCATTCCTCTATTTCAAAGTAGAAATGATAACTCAAACTGGAAGTGTGACTCCTTTATAATATTTCATAAAAGCAAAACATTTCAAAGTTCCAGCCCGTTTTCCTTCTTTTTTAGCTTGTGTTATGAACTGAAATAATGAAAATAGAATTTCTATTATTCCATAGACTTCTTACAGTAAATCACCTTCCCCTTGGAATTCTTTCCTGGTTATTTATTGGTATGAACATCATTGTCTGAGATGAGATGCCCATTGTGCCATTGTTGTTGTCAGCACGGCCAATCTCCCGCTGTTTCCTTGAATGCCTCTAATGTGAAACCATATATCCTGTCTCAGAACTGTTTGTGATGTGTACTGGAGACAGGATTGTTTAGGATATTTCAGGAATGTTTTAAGATTTTCCTCAACTATCTTTCTAAATTTAATACTTATTATTTTACGCTTTTTTAAACATTTGCCATCTTTACTTCAAGTGTAGATATACATGTAAATAGATACTCATATATACACTATTTTTTCAAAGCAAAAATTAATATCAGACTATTAGAGTTATAGAAATAATCATAGTAGAAAAAGGATACAGACATTGTACATGTTTTGAGTCAGTGAAGCGATATTATAAACAAATTATATTGCACTCATTTTGTATTCACAATATATCCACCATAAATATTACATATTTATATATATCAGTTTATGATATATATTTTTTTCATACATAAGAGAAGACATAATATTGTCTTTCTGGGTCTGGCTTATTTCAATGACCAAAATGATCCATCCATTTTGTTGCAACTGTCAGAATTTGATTATTTTTTATGATTAGTATTCCATTGTGTGTTTGTGCATTGGGGCTGTGTATGTGTGTGCATTTGCTTGTAGTCACATTTTCTTTAACCATTCATCATGTGATGGAAATATAATGCTTGATTCCATATTTTTCTACTGTGAACTAATCTATGAATATGGGAATGAAGATAACACTATTGCAGAGTAAACCATCACATGAAAAAAAATGAATTTGCTCTCCCCTCTTTCCCTGCCTCTTTCCCTTTGTCCCACTTCCCAGTACCCCTCTCTTCCTTTCCGTGTATTCCTCTCTCCCCCGTCCCATCCCTTTCACCTTTGCCTCTCTTCCTCTCCATGTCCCACTCAAGGAAATATTTACATGAAAATTAAAATTTATATTGTGGAAATGTCATAGACAATGTTTGTCTGAAATAGGAAAAATGCTTTATAACTTGTAATATGCTAGTGAATAAACTGAAGAAAAAGCAGATTGCTTGGGGTTCGCATTAATGTTGGCTGAGTGCACACACTCCAGCTGTCCTGAAGAAGACACTCCATCTGGAGGGAAGACTTGCATTCTATGCTAGCATGTTGAGATTTGATCAAATTAGATCTACTCTGTGGTCACAATAATTAAATGAGAATATGCAGACAAAGACAGAATAGTAGATGACTGATTTAGGAACTAGACAAATTGAGCACAACTACACACATCTGAGGCTGTACACACTGAGGTAATATGCTTCCATAGCTACTAGGAAAAGGAGGGTCCTGGATCATCTTCAGTTGTCTTCTCAGGCACATTTACAGGGAACTGGACAGAAAGTACAGCAGATGGGATTCCAACCAGGGCTCATGTGGGTTATTGGCTTCCCAGATGTCAGCTCAACCCACTGGGCAAACCCTGTTATTAACATCAGATATCAGTATATTTATCACACTCCATAAAGCACACCCAAACTCCCATACTTTAAAATCACAATTCCTTGTGTCACTCTACCCCTTCTAGCCTCTAGTAATTGATACTCTTTGTTCAGATAGGTTTTGTTTTTAGCGCTAATTTATGAGAGACAACAAGTGGTATTTTTGTTTTTGTG